TCACCCAGATCCTCAGGGTACCATGGTTACCAGTGGGCAACTTTAAGTGGGGTTGAGAGGCAAGCTTTGAAAGAACAAGCCCGGCAAGATAGGCCATCCGATTCATGGAGACATCTTGGGAAGGCAACTGTTCATAGGGAGCTTGCTTTTGCCAGCTTTGAATATGAAGTTATGTCACTTGGCCTAGAGAGCCATGTAAGAGCCCTACGGGGCATACCCTTTAGCGCCTGCTTTTAGACGCACGCCCACACTCGTGGTTCCCATGATCATCCGTGCCCATGGAAATCTGGCATTCATTCACAAAGGCTCCTCCGATGGCCCTTTGTCAGTTGTAATTGTTCAAAGGTAGCTTGTTGATTCAACATGCGTCTTCACATAATAATCCTCTTGCCTGGGCCTCTCAGGACACATGGGTGGAAGACTGCTCCGCTGTTGCCGTATCTCGGAATTCAGCGCTGGGACTCGCTGAAGACTTCAATGAATTAGTTCTTGCCAGGCAAATCCTTTCAATTGACTCTATGCATTGCAATAGGTTGTGCGCAACAAGTTTCCTGAGGTGTCTTTCTTGGGCACCAGCTTTTTCTTGTTCCGACTTGTGCTTCGGCTTGGGACCCCCTTGATCTTCCACTTGGGATGTCCAGGATCCCCAGGGTGGTTTTGGTGATTTAGGCTTGGAAGTTTCCTTTTGGGGTGGCAAAATAAATCGGCAGCCCGGCTGAAGAACACCTTCGGTTCCGCTTTGCTGGGGCGAAAGGAACTTTTTCCGTGTTGGATTTGCTTTCGGCAGTTTGGGAATGCCCTAAGTTGCATGAGCACTTTTTTGATGCGTGTGTTTGGTCCGGGTTAAATTGACATGGCTGCTGTTGCCAGGTTTCTTTGGCAGCGTATTTCCTGCTGCACCTGTCCAGGTGTTGGGAGAGAAGCCTATGGGCATGCACAAATTCCGATTTATGGGTGTTTGTCTATATACGGGAACACCGAAATGGGTCGTTTCCACTTCCCTTCTTTTTCGTTTAGGGTAGGGTGTCCTGTGGCGCACACCGAGAAAGTCGGTGGATCGGTACACAGCAGCTCCGTTTTGTTATACCACGTCTCTCAAACTCGCAGACCCCCTTGTTGGTAAGGGAACCAAAAGGAAAGTTTGTCATTTTGGCGGACCGACCCCCCATCTTGAGAAACCCCGTTGGGGCTTTGAGTCCTTGATGTCAACTTGATCCAAGCCACGTACCCTACTTAAACGGGGACAAGCTGAGACATGCGCTTGTTGCTTCGCCTAAAATCTAAGTATTCCTTGCTTGTTGTGCTTTTGTTTGACCATAGCCAAAATGAAACCCAAACAACTCAACGGCGGCTTTATATCTTTGCTTGATGCAGCCCTTCTGGACATACTGACTTAGTTATTCAATACTGGTTTGGCCTGTGTATTGACCTAGCCAATCCATACTCTTCAGCCCATTCCAGATTGTGAAGTGGGAATCCCTCGTTTCTGAGGAACACACAACTGAGCATCGATTCCCACCTGCACAGTATCCATCATGGTTCCTTCTGATTCCTCGACTCTGTCCCTTCGTCGTTTGCCCAAGCTGAGCCCCATCCACTCTCTCATTCCCCTGGTTCGGTCTACACTTCTCAGAGTTGACATCGAGACAACGGTTTGTTGGCGCAAAGGCCAAGGAATAGGTCATCTGGCCCCATTTGTGCATTGTTGGCATTAATTTACTTCATGGCCATTGTTCAAAATGTCATACACAAACAGCGTACCTTAGAATGAGCGGCTCCAACGATATTGGGCTATATGTAGGGAACCCCCTGATTTCTTGGCTGGGATGTAGGTAATGTCCATGGGGCAAAGTACTCACAATCTTGAGCTGATGACCCCCAGGGTTTAAGGGTCATGGAGACTCCAGGTATGAGGGGCAAAGTAACTACACCCATCACTCCTTAGATGGTCAAACATGGTTAATGTTTGGCGTTTGCCGGGACTTGGCTGCTATTGGGTTGGATCTTTAGACTTTAACGTTTTGGGAAATCAAGGGGGTTTCCACTAAACCCCAAACAAGTCAAACTTTTTGCAAGGGGGTCAACAGCAACCAAGGGGAAGCATGGCTGTTTCTGTTTGCGGATGTGAACCGGCTTTTGTGGAGGGCTTTAATGCTCAGCTACTAAGCCCTAAATTCAGCCTAACTCAAAAACCGATCAGAGGGAAGCTTAATTTGGACGGTCAGGAGGTTGTTTTCACAGCGCTGTTTCCTTTTTCCCCATTTCAAGATACCCTTATGAAGCTACTAACCCTAAATCATGTTTCCCTATTTAAGACACCCATATTGAAGCTACCCCCTAAGTCCAAGCTCCAAACCTCCCAAAGCAGTCAAGTCAACATGAGAAGCATGCAGCGGCACAAGATTCGGTCGCCGCCTGCCGATCCGCAATTCTTGTTTCTCCAGCGCACAGTTCTACAACATTGATCATGGAGATCGTTTTTCCTCTAGACACCCATAGGCTTGTTTCCTCACCCATATGAAGCCTCTAACCCCCAAACTCCATCCAAAAATCCAAAAACCGGCGGGGGAAGCGGCCAAGTTTTTGGACTCCAAACCAGAGGGCGGGCCGGAAGCGGCGGATTTTTTTTTGTTTATCCGGAGCCTCAGGCGCTGTCCGGGTGCATGGAGGTGGTGCCCTGCCTCGCTCCCAGCCTCACGGGCTTGGACTTCTGCACCTACGCGCTTCGGTGAATTGTTTTTTGTTTCTCGGTCGGCGGGGGGGAAGTTCCGCTTGGAGACCCAAAAGGGTTACCCTCACTGCGGATGGAGCTTCTTCGTAGGGGTTGAGGAAACCGCCTCCCTTCTCGTCGCATGCGCTAACCAACCATTTTGGAGCTCCCTAATTAATTTGGGGCTGCACCGTCAAAGTAATTCCCTTACTGGGGTTTGGGGGGATTTGGGGTCTGGGGGGTGGCCAGGCTAGGCGGGGGGGGGGGGGTTGGGACTTTGACAGGGACATTGAGTGGTACGTACTACGTGTACCACATTCACGGTATGTAACGTTGACAAATAGAGGTGAAGTGAATGTACCTAGCCGTTTCTACTCCCCACAATTTGTACCCAGGGGGTTTGGGGGGACTTGGGGTCTTGGGGGGTGGTCGATTTTTGAGGCTTGGGGTGGGGTTGAGGGGGACTTGGGGAGGCGTGGGTGCCAAGATACCAGGGCCCGTTTAAGTATCATCTCACCAAACTTGGAGTTTGAGAATGGGGAGGGCTTGGGGTTTGGGGGGTGAACCTACCAACTGGTTGCAGTCGTTTGTGGGCCTGTGGGTTTAAAGAGAGGATCAGACTCCTTGGAGGAAGCCCAGCCCTCTTGGCATTTTGCTTTGTTGAATTCTGATCTGGTTTAGTAGGGGGCTGCAAACAAAACCATATTGTTTGCAAGCCCATACCAGGGGTGGTGAAGTTTGTGATATTGATCAGATGTCGTTTGGTGTGAGGGTTTGGTTTGCAGTCCTATTATCTTTGCAGTCTGAGCCTTTTTTTTTAATCAAAATCTGAGCCTTTTCTAGCAAAATCTCCCTAAAATATTTGTATTTGGTGCACTGGTTCCTCGTTTTCCCTTCGCCCCTTTGCCAATTTGCTGCCACCTCCGGGCGGTTCGGTCACCAACAGCCAGCCGACTGGTGCGTATTTTGAGGCTTGGGGCGAAGGTTACCCTTTGCGGGCTTGGTTTTCTAGGGGTTGATTCCCCATTCTTTTCAACCATCGTTCTTTTAAAAAACCAGCCGTTTTCCGTGGGCTTCCGGAGGTTTTCTAGAAAGAAGGATCCCTGAAAAGAATGGGGAAGGTACCCCTAGAGGTTTGAGTTGATTTTCTCGTGTTTTTTTTTGAGCGGGGGTCCCCTTACTTGACACGTTCCCAATGGTGCTCGACGTGTTGCTCGTTGTTTGGTTCGTCTGCGGGTTTCCAGGATGTCTCCGCTTGCACCTCCGTGGCTCCCGGGGAGAAGTGCGAGGTGCACTGCAAGAACCCCTTCACCGGCGCAAAGACCGAGGCGGGCCTTGGCCAAAAGTCTAGGGGTTGATTCCTTTTCCATTCTCGTCAACCATTGCTCTTTTCAAAGACCGGATCTGTTTCCCCTTGGATTCTGCTGGTTTTCTGAAAAGAAGGATCCCTGGAAAGCATGGGGAAGTGTCCCCTAGAGAAAATGGAACTTGAAGCTCGTCTTTTTTTTGGGGGCCTCGTCTTTGGGTAAGCCTCCCGAACGCGGCGCATTTGTTTAATATATATATATATATATGTATATATATATATAAGAGCAAGCTGATCTTCCAGGTGTTTCCTCCCACAAATGCAATGCTAGTGTGAGAAGAAAGTAACGGGCCCCTGATTGTGTTTAAATGGACACCAATAAGAAGCTACATTGTGTTGGGGGTTGCCCTTGTTTGAGACCTTTCGAAAAACAACCAATAGCATAATGTTTGTTGTTGTTGTTGTTGTTGCTTTTTCCCCCGGCACAGGCTGGGTCGCCAATAAACCCCTGGCTGGCATGCACCTCTTGGTTTCCCCGTTTTGGTCCACTTTTCGTAAAGGTCCCGAAGGTCGCGGCCCTTTATACCGTGTTTTTTTTTGAAAGTGGGAAGACCTTTGACCTAAAGTAGTGAGAAGATTCACAAGCACTTCCTCACTTGTCCAAAGCCGACCTTTTGACCTTTTGGCTTTCCTATTTCGGTCGACTTTTTGTCATGGCCCCAAAAGGTTTGCAGGTCCTTTGGGCAAAGAACCCTGAGGCGGACTGCCCAGTGGGCAATACGGACCCCAACGGCCTCATGTGGACGATGCCCCCCTGCACCCTTGAGAGCTGTGATGAGCCGGGTACCGTTCCGGCGGGCTACCGACGTGCCTCACCGAGCAGTTTTCGCGGGTTGTCCAGAAAGAAGTTGGCCTTGGGCTGACCTCAATTGGTTTGGATTTGGTTTGGGGTCCCTGCTTCTTGTCGAGGGGAAATTACTCCCGAACCGGGCTCCGCGCTCCAAACCACCAAGCACAGGGAAGAGTTTTGGAAGGTCCGCTTCAATGCTTTGTGTCTAGCTGCAAGCTATACGAGGTCTTGCTTCAAGAGATTGGCAGGTGCAAAGTTTGCACTCGGTGAGTGTAGAGTCTAGAGTCATATCACAGTTGTAGTCCCACGGAGCTGCTGTTGGATGCTTTCAAACGTTCACCGTTGCTGTCCCTGGGCTGCGAGCAGTGAGCAATGAGGCGTCAAAGGTTGCGACGACCGAAGGACCAAGCGAAGCTGCACTGAGATCGTACAACCGGCCGTACGTCCTTCAAGTCGTACTTTCGGAAGTGTCACAGGACAGTATAGGCAATCCCGAACAAGGCGAACAAGGGGTCTTGCCTGGTACGGGCGGGTAGTTGTTCCTTTGTAATCCACTCAGCCAGAACGGTCTCACACCCACACACACACACACACACACATACCGCCGTTTCAGAAGCCTTTTCACGGCGTTCCGCTGAGGTTCAGGCACTGCATGGGAATGTGCTCAAAGCTACACGGGTTTTGCGGAGAAGGCAGCGAGTCGTGCCGCGGGGTTCGTATCGCGACCGGATTCGTGTGAGAAACCAAGGGGAGTAACCCAATCCACGAGGTAGTATGCACGACCAACCAACCAGCCAAGCAACCAGTCTATTAATTACCAACCAAACACTTGACTTAATATGTATGTTATATATATACTTTTGCCAACATGGCACCCAAGTGGGGAAATGCGGAAAATATTGCCTGGGTGTTTGGGTACTCGGTACTCGCAATTGAAACGATTTTGCGCTTCCCGCTGCCTCCTTCCCAATCTGCGTCCTGGCAGGTGCGTTTCGGGGGAATCCAAAGAAAGGCACTCCTTTTTCGAGGGCCCCGGGTCTAAAGCAACGTGCAAAAAATAATATAGCAAACTTAGAAAGTCTGGGAGTTGGTCTTCCTTTTGGTCTGCTATAGAACACATTGGTTGGAACCCATTTAGGGTCACCAAACAGCTTCTCAATCACAAAGGCAACAAGTGGCCGGGAACGTGCCATAAACGCAGTTTTGTTTTTTGGAGGGCCAAGTTGCGATGGACTTGATTGACAAAGTCTCCGCCTTTCCTGCAATGCTTGAGAGCGTATTTGCCGGTGCCATTTCGGGCTCAGCGGGTGTATCCTTATTTGCGGCCAGAAGAGGCCCAAAAAGGCCGAGATTTTGGGCGCTGGATCTTGAGGCTCTCGGCTGACGTTTCACGGATTGAAAGGTGCGCGCCAATGTCCACGCCGCAGATTCCAGCCTCGCTATGGCAAAAAGCCGCAAGGGCTTTGATGAGCGATGAGAAGAAGGAGGATGATGGGGACGCGGGCCCCAAACAGGTAGCGGTGATCCCGCCCAAGTTCGGAGCTCCGGCGCCCCCCCCAATCCCAGTGAAGTCAGGAATGGCTCCGCCTATGCCCATACCGCCCAAGGCCAACATGGCCCTCATCCCAGCTAAGTCTGGCATGTCCATCATCCCAGCTAAGTCTGGCATGGGAGGAGGCCCTATGCCGTCCTTCATGACTGGCCCGGCTCCCAGCAAGGATGACGACGATGACGACTCCGATGAGGAGTCCAGCGAGGAGGACGGAGCCGCTCCAAACCCCATGATGATGCTAATGATGCTGAAGCAAATGCAGAACTCGGTGAAGTCCAACATGTCCAAGGCTCCGCCAGAGATGCAGGAGCAGCAGAAGATGCTTCTGCAAATGCAGCAGCAGTTTGAGATGACCCTCATGCAGAAGATGGGCATGGAGTCGGGCGGATCTGCACCGTCCGACATGCCAATGTTCCAACCACCTGGAATGGAGGGATGCGGAGGTTGCGGCGGATGTGGAGGCTGTGGAGGTTGTGGCGGTGGAGGTTGTGGGGGTTGTGGCGGCTGCGGCGGCTGCGGTTGCGGGGGTTGTGGCGGCTGTGGCGGTTGCGGCGGTTGCGGCGGTTGCTGCGACAAGCCCAGCCAGCCCAAGTCTGCCCTCCCTGCAGCCTTGGCCAACAAGCAGAAGATGGACGCTTCCAGCAATTTGATGAGCGTGGCCTCGCCGCTCACTCAGACTGAGAACTTGGCATGTTGATGCAAGTGAGAGGTCAGATATGTGGCATATGGAGAGTTTCTTATATCATTTGGCATGAAGAATGTCTCGAAACACGGAGCAGGGCTCCCCGTTTCAGCGACACCTGTTTGTTGAGGATACCCTCTTTGGTGTTGCTGAGGGGAATCACAGGGAAGCAAACTCTGGTTCCGTATCCAATTTGGAGACACCATGTTTCCTCATGGGTGATGTCTTTGGCTTCCCTTGAAAATAGCCCAACAGGTGGAGGTTCCCATTGGCTATCCTCAAATCACGCAGAGGGCTGTTCTTTGACGAGTGTTTTTTGTTGGCTTTTGTTAGTGAGTTATCCGTGTCGACTGGACTGTCCACGACGAAAGACATTGGACTCGCGATGCAATCCAAAGCCGAGGGTATTCCTGAAAATGCAGCACCATGGTTTTGGTTCCCATAAAGGGGTCGCCTAGGGACCCCCAGCCAGCTTTTGGATGGCAGGGTGCTCCGCAACACCCGCCCCCCCTCCTTCGCCATCCCCATTTGCCAAGCTCGAGCCCTTGAACCATGTCTGCGTTGTTTCCTCCTTGGATGATCAACCCACTTAGTACATAGGTTAGAACCGTAGCTCCAGCGTAGCTGAGGCTAGTCTCCTTATTATATGGTTTTGCCCCGCATTGCTCAGTTGAGCAGTCAATCTCCATTGTGTCCTCAATTGACATTGGGTTTTGGTGAGTAGCCCCCGTTTCCTTATTGTATTTTGGGGGGCTCCTGTTTTGTGCATGTCATCCTCTTATTGTAGATCACGGAAATATGGGGGGGCGCGTTCAAATTTGTTTTGGGTATTTTCAAGAGAATACACATGGACAACTCCCATGTTGTTGACCCTTTCCCGATGTTATCCGTACCTTACACGGGTTTTCCTATCGACCCCCTCCCCCCATTTCGCGTTACACACCCATGGACGTGAACAGTTCACATAGTTGACTGGGCTTCTTTTTCTCCGGGGCGCCTTACAGCCAGCCCATTGTGTTTGGCTCACACAACGCGGGTTTCTCCGAAACAAATCCGTTTTTCTCGGGGTTTCTCCGAAGAATCCGTTTTTCTCGAGGTTTCTCCGAAAAAATTCCCTCCGGGGGGTGGACCGGGTGGACTGGGTGGACCGGGGCTCGGCTGAGGTCTGCGTCCTCGTCGGCGCAAGTGATGCCGCAGAGCAACATGGGCTTGCCAGCGGCCCAGGCCATGGCAGCGTCGGGCGCCACCCCGGAGATGCTGCGCCTCGGATCGACGCTATCGAACGACGGATCGACGGCACGAGCTCGGCCGGGTTGATGGAGATGTTTTGGGGGGGTTCCTCGGAAATGTGATGTTCTGTTCCACATGTTTTTTTCTTGGTTGTGTTTGTTTTTGTGTTATCAAACATGTGGGTAAGGGGACAATTATTGATTATGAACGACCCTGCTCTTGTTGGTTGGAACGACCACTATGAGCCATCCCTAGCGGTGCGCTTTAAGGCTTTAAGGGGAGGACCCCCTTTTTGGCTGATTCCCAAAACCCCTGTTGATTTGTTTGTGACCCTCCAATTCCATGTTTCCCTTTTGTGGGGCACTCTAGAGGAATGGAACTGAGGAAACCCCAGACACCCCCCCTCCCCAAGCGCCTTGCAGGGGCTTTTTTTGAATCCTGTGTTTAGCGGTGATTTTAATCTCCTTTGGGTCGATGAACGGTTAACGTTATGTCTTGGAGGGGGGGAGAGCTGGAGTGAGTTGCCCTGGCAGAATCCGGCCTCTCTTTGAGATCTTGGTTCATTTGCACAAGTCATGACGAAGCACGGGTGAAGCGCCCGGTGAAAGCACGCTCACCTAGGTTACATGCTGGAGCTTGAGGCGAATTGTGAATGTCATATAGTATAGTTTTGCATTTTGTTGTTTTATTATTGTCAAATGAATTTGTGAATATTTGATGTTGATGATGGACATCTTGGAATATATGTGCATTGTTTGTTAACCATTTCAAAATTTACTGCTCCCCTCTTGAGTCTTGGGAGATGTCAAAGTGGGAAACGTGCGGAACTGAGGGCTCCACACCTGAGCTCTTCTAGGTCCCCCAGTAGTGCCCTTTTTAACCCCTTTTTTTGGGGAGGGGAAACCCCTACTCAAATAGACTAGAGAAAAAAGTTGGTACCAACTCATTCTAACCTCTCTACTGGAAAACCTAGTTCTTGTGTGCAAGGGACTTCCCTGGCGCGTGGACTGCGACGTTGCATTGTTTGAGTAAACCTCACTCCAAGCACATTGCGTTTACCTCTGCAAGAAATGTGCATCAAGTTGGGACATGTTGACCCGCAGTTGTTCGATATGTGTGTTGGCCACATTGAAAGGTCCTAGCCTTGAAGACATGGTACGCCCCCTGCTGTGTTGTCTTTCTTCATGTCCAATGTGGGACTGTGTTATGCAATACGTATTCAATGGGCCTCCCGGTATCTCATAGCATATGCATTTGAATCACTTTCGTTTTGTTTCCTTGCAGCTTTCCTCGGCTGGGTCCCAATTGTGCGAGTTTGTTTGGTTTGCTTGGGGGAATGGTTTTTATAATTCTCGGGTGCGGTTCTTGACAGTTCAAGCATTCGGGATCCCGATCTGCCTATATACCAGCTGGCCTTGGGGACAAAGATGAGCCGATGGTCCCTTACTTGGGCATCCAATTCTTATTTGGCTGTGAATTCTAATGGGGAACCTCCTAAGTGATTGGTGGACATAATCCTCACCTAAATTTGATGCCCACCAGTTCGGGTCCCTAAGTAAAATTTATACCTATGTCAGGCTTTGCATGTTCTCGGGTGCGGTTTCTTGACCTTGGGGATGAAGACGAGCTCCTTGGGATCCCTTAATGCAGGCTTTGGAGGTATAGAATTGCCGATCAAGGCAGATGATGCAGCAGATGATGGGGGTGCAGAGTGGCTACGTGGATCCCTCCCAGAAGGGCGCTGTGGAGGCCCCACCGACACGGTGTCACCCGATTAATTGGGCGAGCGAAAGCCATGGTTTGTTTCGAGGCTTTACTTGGATCCAGCTTTTGATTGAAGGTATTGCTTAAAAATGCGGATGTGTTGAATGCACCCGCACTGTTGATACATCTAGTTTATATGAAGCGACTGCCGTAAGGGCGATCTCTTTCTAGCCAGGGCAGTGGGAAGGCTTTCTAACTTTGGCAACGAGCCATGAGGAACAAGATATCCCGAAGGGCGGAGTTCCACACTTTGTTTTACTATTTGGCATGCAATGGTATTCCTACGCCCATGCTTCAAAATAAGGCTGTCACTTCAAGCTTGGCCCTTTGGTATCAACAGCCACTTCCCTGTCAGCCCTTTGCCCCCTGCACCTGGACCGTGGAGATCGCAGTTTGTTTTTTCCCCCTAAGGGCTTATCAAGATCATGACAAGCCAATCTTGGAAGAAGCTGAATTGCAACCCACTGCCCTTGTTTCCGCCCATTTCTGGCTCCGAACCCGGCCTCTTGTGGTTCGCTGTGATCACCGGCCCTCTAGCTGGTGTCAAAGCTGTGACGACTTTTATTTGGAAGGTTCCTTTTTTTGGGCGAGACCTCGCCAAAAACCATGAGTTGCGTGTTAATGGTCCACATGCTCGGTGTGCTATTCTTTAGCAAGCATGATTTGATTGTGGCTACAGCATTGACTTGATCCTTTCTAAACCAGCAAACATGTCATCTCAGTTGCTTTAATTCAACCCATGTCTGTTTGTATATAAGTTCACCGCCCTCTTTCACATCTGATTTCACTTTCCTCTGGTCCTTGACCGAAACGTGGCAGGGAATCAGAGGCTGCACAGAGCCCTCTGGAACTGGAACCCGATGCTCTGAGCTGGCCATTCGCCTGGTTCAAGTGGGTTACCTCAGTCTCTTTTTCAACCAAGAGAAGTGCACCCTGCCCATCCGGACACCGACAGAGCACTGAATGGAAGACGAACTGCACCCAACAACTTGAGCAACTCTTCCACAAACGGAACACAGATGCACCAGAGGAACAAAGATGCCCCAGGACTTGTCAACAAAACCACGGCAGTGGTGCCAAACCGAAGCTGAGTTGCCGGGCAGGGGTGCATATGGCGGACACTTCAATTCTGGCTTGCAGCCTGTTTAGGCCATTTGTTTGTTGCTTGGGCTTCTCTACGCCGTGTGGGTACAAAATGTGCTTTCCGCATCAGCTCCCATTTGCTGAAATGAATCTTGTTTATCTTCCCCTCTTGGTTTCAAAGTTGGAATCATCCGTCGCATCGATCCGCCCGATCCGCAGGCGCAGCAGGAGGCTTTGGCCCTGGCGGCCAAGGAGCTGCAGGCGGCGCAGGAGGCGGCGGCGGCACAGCAACAGGCGCTTGCCGGCGGTTGCTCAAATTCCCGCGGTGGGAGCGGTGGGAGCGGTGGGAGCGGTGGGAGCGGTGGGCGGTGGGTCACTCGTTCGTGGCTGTTGCTGAAACCGGGCCCTGGAACCAGCCCACTTTTGGCAAACAGGTGCGCTGGGCAAGCGCGGTGGGCGGGTGCCGCGTGCCGCTTTTTTTTGTTTGGTGAAGTTGTGGGTGGAGGTTTTTGAATGTCCATTTCCTGGGGGTGTTGGTATTGTTCTTTTCACTCCCTGAGTTGCAGCTCCGTTTCGGACTTGAGTCACCCCCTTTCGGGGTTGGTTGCCATGGTGGAAAACAATATGCTTGGCCGGGCTTTTGGCCACTCGGGAAGTGAGGTCTTTTCGTCTCCCTGAAACTGGGGGCAAAAGTTCCAACTTTCCAAAAGAGGTCCAACAAAGGGGGGTGGATTTCTTTTCTTTCCATGAACACAAAGCGGGTCTGGAGAAATCCGCGCTGGTGCCGAAAAGGCTTCCCACAGCCTGAACAATACCCTCAAAATGGTGGGTTCAAGTGCAACCACAGTCGCTTCAGTGTCAGATGTTCTGGGTCCGAGGTGACACTACTGAGCCTCAAAAAGGTTGGAAAAAAGGGACAAAAACTCACCCAGCCAGTGAGTATTCATGAGACGCTTCCTTTTTGGTGGCTTCCCCTTTAGTTTAGGGACCAAAAGGTGTACACCGAGTACTAAACCAAAAGTTTGGAACTTTGTTTGGCCCGACTTGGGAACTGTGACGGGGGGGGCAACTTTAGGGGCCATTTGAGATGTGGGGGTTGATCAATATTCCCGGCCCCCGAATGAGTCTGGGTAATTAGATGTTCCCGTTTAGTGGAACATATCATATGTTTAGTGGTTTCCCCAATGGCCATCCCATGTAAAGAAAACCTTTTGATCAACCCCCATGTTTTTGCCCTAAATTAAAATGCGGGCAGCAGTTTAAGCTTCACCGTTGACCGAGATAAGTCTGACTTTGATCCAGGATTCACCACCGAATTGAATAGGTGTCTCCTTAAGAGGGAACCCTCAACTGGTTGGTACCCCTTTTGGTTTCCTTTTGAGCAAATAAGTCAATCAAGCAAGCACGGGTAGTAATTGCAGGATCGGTGAGTTTGGGTAGGGTATGCCTTTTGGATGGTCTGAAAGAGTACTGGACCAGTAGTTGGTTTTGACTCCCTCTACTGTACAACATCGATCACCAAAGGGTCTATGCGCGAAAATCGGGGGGGCCTTTGATCTTGAACACCACTGGAGTTCAAAAACCGATGTTCAAGAAACAATGGAAACAGAATTCAAGAGCCTTTTGGTTTTGAAGCCGTAGACCCCAAACTGGAACCCTTTGGGTTCTCGATCCAACAGATCTGAACCATTCTGGAGTCCACAGAAAAACCTATGCCCTTCCTCCCCCCGCAACTAACAGGCAACTGACACCGGGTACACCCAAGAGGAAAATCATCTTCCGGGTACCCTCCCACAGGTGCTATGTTTCTTGGAGGGAGGGTATGTATATATGTATAAATAAAAACATCCCTCCAACAAACATACCCTAACATATGTATTTATGATATATAAAACATCCCACATAGCATATATATATATATATATTATTATTAGAATCATAACAGCCCAGCCTTGGAACACCGGGGACACCCAAGCGCCCGGGCGCCCGGGGGGTCAACCGCCTCTCGAAGCCTCGAAGCGCAGGCGCTGGAGGCCATGAGCCCCGAGCAGCGGGACGCGGTGCTCAAGGCCATGTCCGCCGCCTCCGAGGCCCAGCAGGCCATCGGAAATCCGAGCGCGCGCGCGCCGAGCGCCGCCATCGGGGAGCGGAGCCCTGGCCTTGAGGTTTTGGGCCAGGGAGGCCTCGTTCTCTTTCTCGGGTCGTTGGGGTTCAGTTGGTCACCATGGGCCCTGGGGCTCGGTTGGTCACCATTAAAACAAAATAGTTGGGTTTATATAGCTACCAATAGTTGGGTTCATAGAACCTTCCCCAGAATGAGCTCCCCTTGACCGCTTTTTTCGCTGTTTTGGGGTCCCCTTTATTTTCTACTCGCCAGGTAAAAAACAAATAACAATGTTGGGGTCCTAATTCCTGAGTAACCACCATGGTTTACCTAGGGATGGTCATCCAAATTGGGTCCTTGCCATTCTTTTTGATGGGAGTTGAACCCCTTGGCTTGGGCAGTCGCTGCTGCCATCCGTTTCCGCTTGGTGACAGGTCCCTTGGAATTTCGCCGAAACCCAACCACCTTGTGAGAAGTGTTTCCCGTTGTTTGGGATTTTTTCGGACTCACTTTTGGACTCGGTGATCCGATGCCCCAGTTTTGAGAAGTTCTTGTCTGGAGGCTTGGTCCCCCGGGTTTGCCTAAGGCTCAGGAATGTTTAAGGCACCCTGATTAAAACCCGAAGGAATGTTGATGGAACCCTGCGGAATCCGAAGGAACCCTAAAGCTCTCAACCCACTCACCATGGAACTGGAGGGGCCCGAAAAGGGCATCCGATCAGCTTTCATGATTGGTTTGGGGGTGTCTTGCTCCCTGAGCACTTTTCGGGAAGATACAAATATGCGAAGACCAAGAATGGAAACACGGAGGGAATGAGCCAACATTGTAGTTGGTGGGAATCCACTTCTGGTTCTTTCCAACCACGGAATCGATTCTGGTTCTTTCAATCCTTGAAATTAACTCCCTGAGAGCCAGCAAGGTTCGGAATGGCAAAAGGGGTTGACCTATCTCCAATGAATGATGAAAATTTGGAGCAACCGCCTCCACGGTCTTTCACATAATCGTGACTCTTAGTGGTCTGGGCAACTGTCAAGTTTGACGCACCCCAGCTTTGGAAACAAGTGGCAGTGTCATTGCTCGGACCTGCCGTGTTTTCTGGGGCACGGGGGGCTTCCCCCGATCTCTTCACATGGACCGTTGCTGCAATCGGAATGGGACGCCGAGGCAAGCGACCACCGCCTGCCCATCAACAAACGCGGAGAACAGAAGCAACTGACCGTTGCTGTGTTCACATCCACCCCCTTACCTTACAATCCTCCGCCCCCCCCCCCCCCGGAAAAACCGAAAAAAAGAGAGAAAAGCAACAATCACACAGAAAGAAAAGCCTCGCGGTGGTGTCTTTAAGTTTTCAGCGCCCAGAGTGCGGGGCACCCGCACTCGCCCCCGCCTCGCGACTCGCGCGAAAATGCAGGCGCAGCAGAGCCAGTTCTACGAGGCGATGAAGGCCCACGAGATGGAGAAGCTCCAGAAGAGCGGCCGCTGGCTTCGCCCGCGGGGCGTTTTTTTTTTTTTTTAACCGGGGCAAAGCTTTGGGCCACGGATGCGAACGCTTTCGGGGGGGTGGGGGGTGGGGGGAGGGGGGAGGGGGGGTCGGCAGATATTTGTTTTATGCTTTGCATGAAGAAAATGATCTGAAACAGAGTCAGACACAAACTGTGGGACGAAGTAGATGACGAAAAGGGCGGCTGTTTCAAAGGAAAACCATGGCAAACCCTGGCTAAGTCAATCCGTTAGATGTCGGTTTCCCTACCCACGCGAGGACCACCTTCTGGATGGTGCTTACCGCGGCAAACATAGAGAAACAAGGCAATTGTCGGAGCCCCCTATTCCAGGGAAGACACCTTTTGTTTTGAGGGCGCTTTCGGTTTGGTTTGCGATTGAGTGGGTGTAGGGTTGAGGTTGAGGGCTCAGTCAGTTCGCGATTGCGCAATGCTAGTTGCAGAGGAGCAACGTCTTGTTTTTGGTGTCTTCCAAACCAACTAGTTTATATTGTGGGGCGGGGCAGACTACCGAAACCGAATCTGAAAATATGTTGTTCTGTGTACCTCAGATGGGCCAGTTTGTTTTGCCCCGCCAGCACTGGCCAGTGAGCCAGCTGCCTTTTGGAACACGGGGAACAACCAGGCAATCCGCTTCCCTCCAAAAACCCAGGGTGCAAACCCCTAAACCACCGACCTCAGCAACTGTGTCGCAAAAAAGGGGGTTTGGGGAAGGTCTAGTGCTTTCCCGCATGGGCGCGATTTTAACAAAGTGACTCCCTTTGCACAAGAAGATACAAGAAGTAGTCCCACATGCAGTTTTGGACCCTAAAATGGTGGTGTTCCTTTTTGGTTTTCCCTTGAAACCAACCTTGGAAACCAGACCGAGCCTCAAACACGCAAAAACACCATCATGGTGTTGAAGGAACGTTCCATTGAACCGCCCCAATACCTTGCGACGGCAACATGGCAATGCCCGAGCTCAAATCGGGCCTGGTTTAGGGGTATAGCCACACCGCGGGCTTGAAGAAGCGCCTATTGGCATGGACAAGGCGAAGTCCCGTTGATTTTGCAGATCCTCAAGTTCCTCTCTTTTTGGCCTTGACCTGGTCAAGTCCCTTTCCATTTCTTGCCCAATGTCCCTTTGTGGTGTTGCTGGCAATTGTTAAATCAAATTCCACGAGTCGCCTGTTCCATTTGAAGTTTGTTTCCCTGCTTGTGAGGCTACTACCAATCCAACCAGCCGGAGCGGTTCAAGGACAGGGTGCTTGGGCACCTGTTTAGAGATTCGGAAATTCGGACAGACCCCTAAGGAGAAGCGAAAGGAAATTCGGTTCTCCAATTCCGCGTAACGCGTGAAGTCGGGGTTGACCCAACCGGATTTTGAGAACCCGCGGGTGGCCCTAACCCTTCAGTTTCCCTGCAGTGGGCTGAGCGTCCTAGTGAGTTCAAGGACGGGTATCGGCCGCTGCGCATGTGCAAGCACTACAAGACGGACCAGTGCTGGCGAGGCCAGGAGTGCACCTACGCGCACAGCCTCGAGGAATTGCACCCTGCCTCCCCTGACCTGCCGCGGGTGGAGGCGGGTTCCGGCTGAGTTGGGGAAATTTGGGTTGGTTGAGGCGTTGGTTGCGAGGGCCGCAGACCCCCCAAAACTGCCCAATGCTTGCCACAGCGAGGCAGGCAAGCAGGCAACAGGCAGGCACTCAACATAGACGCGCGGCACACTACACGCTGCACGCCACACACACAGACAGCACAACACAAGACTACACAGCACAACACAACCCCAGGCTGCCCCACCCCACCCCAACCCCACCCCACCCCACCCCACCCTGCATCACACTACGCACGCGCCAGAAACCATGCACCACGCACGAACGCAGGCACGCACGCAGGCACGCGCACGCACACGCGAACGCACGCGCACGCACACGCACATGCACATGCAGGAAGGGACACGCACGCAGGCGCACACACACACACACACACACACACACACACACACACACACACACACACACACACACACACACACACACACACACACACACACACACACACACACACACACACACACACACACACACACACACACACACACACACACACACACACACACACACACACACACACACACACACACACACACACACACACACATACACATACACATACACACACACACACACACACCAGCACCACGCCACACACCATACACACACAGACTTACACACCACGCAACACACACCACCAACTATGCTACGCTATGCTGCACTATACAACACAACGCAACACCACACAGCACAACAACACAGCACAACATATTTCATCACGCACCGCTCAATACACCGCGTCGCATACTACGCAATGCGCTACACAACGCCCCCCACACAACACAACACTGCAATGGACTATCCTGCCCCCCAGTTTTGCTCAGAAAAATGTGGCGCCCTGTTTGGACCGAACCGCGGCCCTTTTTGGAATGAACGGCAGGGATTGGCCCACGCAGGTGAAAGAGACCAATGCCCTCGCAGAGCAGCAGAAGGTGGAGGACAGCGCGCCAGACGTGCGGCTGAAGAAGAAGAAGGCCCGGCTCGCTGAAATTGGTCTCCTATGCGAGGTGGCTCAGTAGTGCCCTTTTGCCAACTTTTGGGGGGAGTATGTCTCCAGACGTATACCTGGTGTCCGGCCATGGTCAAATTTGGGAGGGTGATTCGGTGATTTCTGTGGTTGCCTACCGCACAGAAGCGCAAATCGGGGTTCCTCCATAACTAGTCCCCTTTTGAGGGGGGACCTCCTCAAAGTCGTTTCCCAGAAAAGTTTCCTTGAAAGAACAACCCAATCAAGGATCGCCTCCAAGAAATGGTACAGGCACTTGGTACTCCATGTCGGGGTCAAGAGTTCATTACATGGGATGACCATCAGGAAAACCAGCAAAAAAGATTTGACTTTCCCTACTAATCGCGAAAAGTTACCCATGCTGATTTGCAGGCCAGGAATATTGATCAACCTCAAACATACCCAGCGGTTTCCAGCCGTCCCAGCCATTGTCCAATTTGTGTTGAAAGCGTGTTGTTGTGGTACCTACTATAAAGGGAAATGGAATCACTAGGTAAGGGGCGAGATGATTACTGATAGTTTGCCCAATCATCAAGACTGAACATGGCTTTAAAGTAGCCCACAACCCCGTTCCAAACGTGTCAGGCCGTCGTATTTTTATGTTAGGGTAGACTATCACGCAGGATCTGAACTTTTTATTGTCTGTGCCATGTAACTTAGAATAGGTTCGAGCGATTTCACCGATTCTCGGGGTACAATTAGCTGGTTCTTCTTTTTGGTTTAAGGGGCCCATGCCCTGACAAGATGCTTTAAGGGAAAGCCAGAATCCACCGCGTGGAGGGTGCCCAAGACAAACCCAAGCCGGGTTAGTGAACTTGAAGGTTGAAGTATTTGGTTTCGGGTTTCCGGGCAGTTTTGGGACCATTGAACAGGGTCAGAAAGAAAGCATGTTTAATACATGAGTCAGTGCACAAATCACCACCACATGAGGAGCCAAGTCCTTCAGCAGCCACTTTCTGGGGTATCCTCCAAAATCGCTGCTAGGGTCGACCAAATATCGGTCTCTCTTGTTTTGAGGATACCCCCCTATTCTCTATGGCTTAAAAGGCAAGCCAACAAGAACGCCACCCATTGTGGGGTCCGCAAAGACATACAAATATGAAGCAGGATCAAAAGACGTGATTTTGGGCGTAGCCTATCAAGAAATCGAAGCCAAGGAGCTGTGCAACAAGTGGAAGAACGGGCAGGACTGTGTGCTCGGCCGCGCTTGTCCCTACGCCCACGGTGAGAAGGAGTTGGGGACCGTGGAGCTTGTGGTCTGTGGCCGGGTGAAGACAAGGAGAGCGCTCAAAAGCCATGTAAGAGAAATCCAGTGATTCCCAGTGACCAGTATGGATAACCCTTCGCCATGTTGCATGTGTATTTTTTGGGTGGTTCCCGTGGTTCTATACAGGGAATGGAGTCACGCTAGTGACTAAATATGGCTTTCAAGTGAGCTCCATTCGAATCATTTCGGCCCTAGTAGTAGAAGAGATCCCTTTTGTTCGAATTATGCGATTGTTGAACTTTCAGGAAATATGGACCAGAATCGGAAACACATGTTGGGTTGGGGTCAAAAGCAGAGGTAGATGAGTAGGGAACAGTCCCCTTGCCATGCTTCAATGGGTTTTGTGCCCTTTGGATTTCGCCTGAGGATCTGCAAGTTCTGGACCACCGGGAATTGCATGTTCCTGGGGAACTGCGTGAACGCGCACGGGGAGAAGGAGCTGGGAACCAAGCGGCCAGACTTTATGACGCCTCCCATGAAGAAGAGGAGGGAAGGAGAGTCCATCGACCAGTTCAGAGAGCAGGTCATCTCCCAGAAGGGGGGCAAAGGCTTTGGAAAGGGCAGACACTGAGCGCATAGAATGCAAGGCAGCCGGTGATAAGTTGCGATCTTTTGGCCCCTTTTTTCAGATAAATGCAGTTGGCTTTTTTGCCGGGTGCAGAAAGTCTGCATGGCGAAGAAAAGGCAGAGGTGTTTGGTTCTCGCCGGCGCCCTGTAGACCTGCTCAATTCAATCTCAAGCTTGGCGCGATAGGGACTATGGAAGACACGTGGAAAAATGGTGTGCCGGCGGCCTGACCGAGCGAGCGATGAGCGATTCGTGCAGTCGCGACGAGAAGGCACGAGGCTATGCCGTGATCAAAACTTTGCGTACCCTCCCACCAACTAACATGGAAGTGCCAAAAGGCCCTTTCCAAGAGGAAAGTAGTCTTTCTACATGGGTTTGTGCACTTCCATGTTCGCTGGTGGGGGGGCAGGGTGTAGGGCGGTCGTTGACCCCTTAGCAGGGATATTTTCGACAGCGCTTGTACGGATTCCCATGACTGGGAGGCATGACCATGGCAAGATCAGGAGTTTTGATCGCGAAGCTGGAGGCACACGACCTGATCGACAAGTTGTAAAGTGGTGTGACTAGAAGAATACTCGAATCGGTTCCCCAGCTAGGCGCCCTTTCTCACCCCTTTTTTGGGGTAGGGGAAACCCCTACTAAGCTAGACTACAGAAAAAAAAGTTGGTACCCTTATTCTAACCTCTCTACTGGAGGACCTAGTACTAGAATCATGAGACAACATTCGAGTTCTACTCAATCGAACGATGGCCCTTTCCTGTTCAAGGTTGTTGGATAGGTGTTAA